TGAGATTGGGAGTGATCCAAGTGCATTGCTTGAGTGTTTGCATCTAGAGGCACTTGGTGTTCGTGTTTCGCTGTGGATTTCACTTGTTACTATTGGTAGTTGCCGCCACCTAGACGGCTTGGAGCAGCGAGGATCATCGAGCGGAGGGTGGTGATTGTCTCTGGCTCCGATCGTGGTGATTGTGAGGGGTTCTTGACCTTTCCCCGGCGGAGCGCCAAAAGGTACTCTAGTGGATTGCTCGTGGCTTGTGTGATCCTCATCTTGTGTTGGTTGTGCGGCACCCTATTGAGGGTTTGGCGTGTGAAGCCAATTAGCGCGTAAACCTCCAAGTGAGTGAATCGCCACAACGAGAACTAGCTTGCCGGCAAGCAAGTGAACCTCGATAAAAAAATCATTGTGTTCATCATTGATTCTAAGGTGATTGTTCTTCATTGTTATCCACACTTGTGATTGATTGGTTCATAGATCTATACTGCGGTATAACCTTTTTGCCTACTCTTTACATTACCGCAAACTAGTTGTCAAGCTCTTTAGTGTAACTAGTTGTGAGAGCTTGTTAGTTTTGGTTAGTGTGGCTCTTTAGTTAGCTTTTGAGAGCACACTAACTTAGTCTAGTGATATAGCTATTATGTGGAGATACTCCATCTAAACTAGAATTGTGTTAGGTGGCTTGCATTTTGGTAGGCTAGTGCAAAACATGCTTCGCCTCATAATAGTTTAATCCTTTTGTTAAGTATTGTTATAGAAATTTTTATTAGGCTATTCACCCCCTCTAGCCATTAGGACCTTTCAAGAGTCAAAGAATCAACCCGTAGAGAGCACTTGATCCTTGCGCGGATCAATGGGGAGCTACACCCTTGCGCGGGTGCTCCAACGAGGACTAGTGGGGAGTGGTGACTCTTCGATACCTCGGCAAAACATCGCCGCGTTCCTTCTTCTCTCTTTACTTTGAGCATTTACTTTGAGCAATTCAATTCTTGTCATTTACATTCCTAGAATTACCATGCTAGAGTAGGATTGGAATTTAGGGTGCTAAACTTTTGTGCGTTAGATCAATAGAAACACTTTCTAGGCACAAGGGGTTAATTGGGCTAACCGTATAGTTTAATTATTGTAAAAAAATTTAGAATTAGCCCAATTCACCCCCCCTCTTGGGCATCTTGATCCTTTCAAGTTTCATAATTTTTGGACTCCTAAATGATTTTATATTTAAATAACAAAATCAGCCCAGAATTTACATTATGAAATCTTCTCTAATTCCTTGGAAAAACGAAAGGAGTACCGCGGCCCACGATAGACGAACCGGCCTAGCCCGAAGGCACAGTGCGCGCCAGCAGCAGCGCGGCACCAGTCGGCCCAGTGGCGCAGCCCCCAGCAGGCGCGGGACGAGACGCGGCGGCGCGGTCGGCCCATTGCGGCACGAATGGGAGCGCCCAGCGGCTTGGCGGCGGCGAGCCAGCCCACCCTGCGACGACGAGCGCGCCCCACACGGCCCGGGGCGATAAAGAAGGTGGTACTTTTTTGCGATGAGGCTCCTGAGTTTTCTCTAAATCAACTAAGCCCCTTTTTGCGAATCTACGAGTCTAGCGTTTTTGCAAAATGGACACAGTAAAAATCTCTATTTGCGTTCAGGTCCTCTTCTACCTTGAAACAGAGCACCGATCGGAGGCACCGGCCGGCTGTGGCAATGGTGCTGTGGGGCCGGGGAAGGCACAACGATGACGGACAACCCGCCAGCGAGCTACACGGGGACCCGCATAGCCTCGGTTGGCCGCGGCGAGACCCGAGCCGGCCCCCGGAAGCCTATCGCGAGAGCCGAGGAGGCGGGCACGCCGGCAGCGGCAGCGACGGCCAGGTGAGGATGGCAGGACAACGCGCGGGGCAACAGTGGCTCCAGGACGTGCATGGTTGGTGGCGGCGTGGCATGGCAACGTGTTGGCTCGGGCGACTACGGCGATGGCTGAGTACGGAGATGGAGCGGCGCAGACGCCGGGGTACCAAGCAGGCACGACACGGCAGGTGCTACGGCCGAGTGGGCTCGGGGAGGCGGAGCTCATGGCGGCATCGGCAGTAGAGGTGCGGCCTGGCGCGGACGACGGTGGAGGAGGCGCCTGGGAGGAGCAGCGCCATGGAGCAGCCATACCAAAGCGGGCGTGGAGCTCTACGGTGGAGCGACATGGGTCCCGAGCGAGGCACGGCAGCCGCAGCGCTGCGAGCCGTAGTCCAGCGTGGGGATCGAGGGGCGCGCGCTCGCGAGAGGGAAAAAGGGGAGATACGACGGGCTGCGTGGTCACAACGACGGTGGCTTCTCATGACTAGATGCTCGCCATGGCGTTGCGCAAGGGAGGACATCGCTGTGGAAGCTGCAGAGCGCTCGAGCGGGGAGGAAAAAGGAGTGGCAGCGCCGTGGCACGAGCGCGCGACGCGGGAAGGAAAAAGGGGGGCAGCGGTGCAGAGCGAGAGCAGCAGCAGCAGCTCGGAGGTGACCCGGACTGCTCAGCACAGAGGCAGACAACAGCGGCAGGCAAGGATAAGGCCACGGCCACATAAATAGAAAATGAGGAAAACAAGAGGGTTCGGCCAACTTTCATTAATGCAGGAGCAGCGTGGCAGTAGCAAGGACGACACATGTTTCACGCGCTACGGCACGGCAATGGCGCCCTTGCGCGCGGCCTGTGCGCGAAGCAGTAGCGGCACGACTCTTTCTCAATAACGCGCGCCAGGGTACGTACGGGAGGGAACACGCTGCAACAGAACACGTGGGCACCATGTGGCTCTCCTGGTTGCCTGCCTGCGCGTGAGACGACGCGACGCGGAGGTGACAGCGATACGTTGTCGACAACTATAAAAGAGCTAAATCCTGTTGACTTTCATCAATAAACATCGCACGCGATAGCTCATACTCGTACCAAGCCATAGAACAAAATATTAAGGCGTTATGTAATTCTTTTGCGCAAAATAAATCGCCACAAACAACGCTTTTAAAAATATAATTTCTGATTTTTACCGTTGACGCGAAAAGCTGCTTTTTAAATATTTTAAAACCTGAGAAAATCGTTTCGGTAATTTTTCTTAGGCCTAAATCGTGGTGCTAAACAAGCTCGTAATACTAGGGGTGTTACAAGGAGCCGGCGCATCGGAAACAGCTCCGCAAGAGAAGTCCAACAAAACCCGGCTTGTCTGATGTATGTGTATCCACTCCAATCCACGTGGGTTAGAATGGAATGGAATGGAATGCAATTTAGTTTAATTTCACTTCAATTCACTTTAACATATGTGGATTGAGATGAATACATGCGCATACAATCCTTTGAGAAGGTAAAGGTGGAAGACAGAGCTGAAAATTTTAGCTTTCACCTGCTCCTTCCTCAAATTTGTGGGCCCATTTTGAATTTGCCACCGTGTAGGCGTGCGCGCGCAAAGAAGACTACCGTCGGGGTTGACGTAGTTGCGCAGAGGAGTCGCTGCTAGGAAGACAGGCGCAAGCGCGACTGTGGCTACCAGTCGTGGAGGAACCATCGGGGGTCGCTCGCGCGCGGCCACGGTTACCGGTCACGGAGTTGTCGGGGGTCGCTCGCACACGGCCACAGCTACGGGTCACGGAGAAGGAGCCGTCAGGTGTCGCGAGCCGCCACGGCCACCGCTTACATCAAATAAACTCAAAGATCTACCATGCCTACTGAGTGCACGCTTTGGGTCTCTCGTAAAAAACTAGATGCTCTACAACTAAAGGGTTGTTTCATCTTTTAGACAAAGGACTTTCGTGATCTGGTTCGTATAGAACTACTCCCTCCGTCTTCAAAAGGACTTAAATCTCGCTTTTCGGGGTAAGGTTAGTATATGCGTAAAATTACGCATTTGCCCCTCATCTATCACTTTAGAAGTGGTTGTCTTCTGGAATGTTCTTCTCATGGATGGTAGTTTTTAGTCATGTAGGGATATTTTTAATTAGTGGGACCCATTGAAAAAGGTGATCTCTAACTCTACAAATTACATGTTTTTTGAGACAAGATTTGAAGAATTACATGTTTTTTGATATGGTCCCAGAAAGGATGTAAATCTCGCTTTTCGAGGTAAGATTAGTGTAGATGTAAAATTACGTATTTATCCCTTCTCTATCATTTTAGAAGTGATTATCTTCTAGAATGTTCTTCTCATGGTAGTTTTTAGTCATGTAGAGATGGGTTCCATTGAAAAAGATTATCTCTAACTCTGCAATTACATGTTTTTTGAGATAAGATTTAAACGCTAGAATTACATGTTTTTTGAAACGGAGTGAGTCAGTCCAACATTTCTTATGGAAGTCCAAACAAATCACCAGATTCCGTAGTCTCTACTAGGTACTAGCATGCGCATCAGTCGTCCAATTTATATGTGCAACTCAGAAAATGCAATAAACTGAAAAATAGCCTACGAACAACAGAAAAGGTCAACACGATAATTAGCAAACTTAAAGCTAGCACGTTTCAATCAGAGAAGCAGGAAGAGCAAAGTTACATTACAACCGTTACATGCAGAACTCCAGGCAAGTCAGCCCTGACCACAGGCTTTAATTTACACCTAACAGTATGAAAAAATTGTCAGCTACAAAATTTCCTACACTTTCCAGAGCAGCGCCACATATTCAGGCACAACATTAGCAAATCACTCTAAATTCTAGTATCGCGGTTTTCTTGGGGATGATACGACCGCAACAAACTTTTACATCATGCACTGACAGCACACCCCACGAAATCCCTTCATAACTGCGTATTTCTAGAGCTCAAATGGGAGCTGTTCTGTGAAAAACTGGGTGCCAACATCAACTCTCTTACAAATCATAGACCTGAAAGGAGAAGATAAACACTTAATTTAGGCATCCTGAAAGCACCTCCTGGCACTACTCTTGTATGGCCTGAGATCTTCTTACAACATGGGGCATCATCCGCATAACTTGCTTTTCACTGCCAATGCTCCAAAGCAGAGATTAGGTAGCAAGCTCTAGTACTCAATGTGCAGCCTCATAGAAAGTAATCTGGTGCTGGCCTTTTAGCAGGAACACCTCTTGACTCCTAAAGGCATAAATGGACAAATTATATGCTGAAGGACCAGATGTTTAACAGAAGCATGACATATTACAAAGGTGGAGAACACTAACATGTGGAGCAGCTTCAAATACGCGGAACTGCTTATTTAGGTTCTCATCCAGCTCCAGGATTGCAGCAACATTGCCACACCTACATGTACACAGTTTTTTCTTGGGTAAGAAATCTGTGAGGTCAATAAAAATAATAGTTAACGCTGAGAAGAAAGACATGAAGATATCCAACAGCAAACATAAGAAATCTGTGAGGTTGACAATCGTTACATGCTGGGAACAAAGAAAGTAAATGGATTCAAGTTTGAAGTAAATGGATTCAAGTCCCCCAGTTCAAACAGTTGTCCAGGCCCAAGCGGCCTCCAAAGTCCTAACTCTACCTTTGAATAGTGGCTATTTGGGCTACTAAAAGAAACACAGAACTAGTACAGTTCTGCAGAGTACTAAAGGTACCTAAAGCATCTTCCATAACTAGATCAAATACAATTTTCAACTACTTCTCTCAAGATATAAAGTTCAGAGACCATGAGCTTCCATTAAATGTAAAACAAGACACCAACAGCACAGACAGTAGTACATCTCCTCAAAGTCCCACCAGATCCTACATGGTCCAGTGCCAATCTATTTTCTAACAGAACTTTCATAATAACTAGTAAAAATAATAAAGTATAGGAATAAAGCATCAGGCCATCAGATTCTTAACAGCTAAATTTAAAGATCCATCGTCAACTTCAAAAGGAAATTATTTGACCATGAACTTAAAGTACCTGTAGCAGTAATTAGGAGCAGACCATACAGTTACAATCTTGTTATTGAACATCCATTTATACCCTTCCATGACAAGTTGATGCGCACGACAAATATAATCTATGTTGTTTGAGTGATTAAATGATGAAACTACATTTCCACCAAAGAGGAATCCTGCACCTCGAGGACTTAATCCCCAACCATCTACAGCATCCTCTGGATCAGACCATAGAAGGTCACACATGGCACCATCATGAGGTACTTCTTGCTTGCGGTCTATTACTCGTATCTGTTAGTATAGGTTAAAACATTAATAGAAATGAAATATACATAGACTAAAAACAACACTGAGATAAATAGTTTGCCTGATCCAGTGTCGTGATAGCAGGAGAAAGGCCTCCATGGACACTAAAGATTTTGTTCTCAATGAGTGCAGACAAACTGAAAAGAACGGATTGAGCTGCAATAAGATCTCAAATATCTAAATCCATGAAAGATGGACTTGCTTGGATTAAAATAAGTATCAAAAGATACTTGCCTTAAATAGTCGAATATATCCGTGCAATATCTCCAGACATTGACGGAGCCATATTTGCGAAGGCACTCATCATAAAATCCATAAACCTGCAGCAAATGAATGAGAACAGAAGGAACCACAAAAAGGGATACTCTTACAGGACAGAACCATAGAACAAGCACTAAAAGTGACCCACACCTGTGTGATCTGCCTGCTCTCATGGTTTCCTCGTATTAGAGTTATACGGTCTGGATACCTAACCTGATGATATTTTGATCAAACATGAGTAGAAATTAATTGGGGCAAAGTTTTATTCTTGTCTTAAAGAAGAAAAAAATAGATACTTGGCACTAAAGCTAGTTTTCAGAAATTTGGATGCAAGCAACAGATTGAGGGTGTGCTCGGCTGTGATTCCTACGGCTGCGGCTGCAGTGGCTGCATCTCAGAGCTACAGTACAAGCCGCAGCCGCAGCCGCAGCCGCAAAAATCAGAAGCGAGCAGAGCCAGAAACAAATGGAAAAATAATTTGATAGGAGCATAATTCCTCAACACAAAACAAGTGTATCTTAACCTGATTTTCTACACTTCTACTACATCGAATTGATAATTATTTCTCATATCCACTAAGGTGTTGTGTTAAGCTGACAAATGCAAGTTTTTTTCCCCGAGCAAACAGGAGACCTGCGCATCATTTCTTTAAGAAGAAAGTACATTGGGATAAGAAACCCACACATACACACCTTACTTAGAAAAATCAAACTTTTTTTAGCCAATAACAAAAGAGGGTGATCACATGGCAGAACTTAAGAGTCCCCATCTAAACAAATGCAAGCTGTAAGGTAATGTGGTGCAATTGTTCTGATAAATTGTAGAGAAGAAGTACTGTGGGAAGCTCAATACTATTGCTTAAAACCATCTATGTTCATAATGGGGTTGGTAGTTACAGACCCTCTTGCATGACACTCAATATTTTTGTATGGCCATAAAGGCATAAACAAGGAGTGCAATTTGAGGTGCACCAAGTAATAAGGTTCTTCACTACAAAACAATAGTTTTTTCAATCCCTACAAAACAATAGTTTTTTCAATCCCACTACTATTCGGCAGAATAACTGGTAGCTTTTTCCATAGCCAGTGACATGGCTAATGGACATGAATTCACGGTAGACTGTAATGGGCAGATACAGTTTGCTACTCAATACACAAATGAGACATTATGGTGGTTGGAAGAAACGTGTGGTTCAGATGCAAATATTGTGACTCAAATTCCACCGATCGAGTTAAAGCACATCTGCTTCGAATATCTAATGTTGGAGTCAAAGTATGCCCAAACGTGACAGCACCAAATTCTTCAGCAGCCTCAAAATGAAATTTGCCGAGGCAGCAAGGCTGATGAAGATTGAGTTTGAATAATTTCCTTGTAAGCTTATGTGTTCCTTATTTCGCATCTTCAGAAATGTTATGTAACTTAAGTTAAACCCTAAATTTCCATTTGTCGAACTCATTGAACATGCAATTACTTAGTTATTTTATAAATAATTATTAGTATTACAATATACTAGCCGTATCCCTGTGTCAGTGTTTCTTTGAGAATGGCATGCCCACAAGTCGAATACATATCATATCGGATACCGATATATGTATCTGGGTAACATAGATAACATATACTCACATTTTATCACTTATAAGTTCCAATGTTATACAAATATCATCCAAACAAATCAGTTTCTGTAGTCTATGTCGTATAGTTTCATGAAATCGACAAACATGTACCCACAATGGCCGGAAGTTAAGCATCAAAAAGTGCTTGATCGTCAAACAGGCTAGTTTGGCTTCTCCAGGCAGCATGATCAAAGCTGCTTCTACAGAAGTTCCAAAACAAGCTAACTCTGAATATATGCTTTCCAAAAGACACCCCAATCCCAGTACCAAATGAAGCATAACTATAGAAGGCAAACAAACAACACACCTAACAAAAGTTTAAGGTAGAGAAGGAATTTACCTTTAAAGCCAAAAGAAGCAAAAATGTTTCAACAGAATAGAATCCTCGGTCAACAAAATCCCCAAGGAACAGATAGTTTGTCTTTGGGCAGTCACCTCCAACTTTGAACAGCTCCTTCATGTCATAGAACTGTCCATGGATGTCTCCACAAATCTGGGTGTAAAAGTAAAGTGTTTGCAATCAGATTGAAGAAATGTAGGAATATCAACACAGTAATAAATAGGTATTTTACAACATGACCTAGTGACTTCTGGTTCTCTAGAAATCAATGAAAATATGCAATGAAAAAAAAAACATATGGAGTGCAATGAACAATTTGAAGCCCCATGGCAAGTACTCTATATCATAGAGGCTTCTCCAATTGGGAATAAGCTTCAAGATTTTGTTATTGAGCAGCACCCACAATGAATCTAGTGTTAAATTGTTAACATGACATTAGAAGATTTAGTATAATCGGGGCAACATCATTAATATTAGGAACATCACATGACCTCCTACAATATCAAGTCGTTCTGGCTTTCCAAGTTTGTTTAAGATCATGAACCATTTTATCATTCCAGAAAAAAATGCAATACAACTAACCGCCACAAGTGCATAAATGGTGGTTAAGGTTTGATGTATGGTAGCAACATATTTATCAGACAAAACTACAATTTCACACTGGAAGAAAGAACACCAAATTGTTAAACTTATTTATTAGGGTCCCCCCCCCCTCTCCCGGAGGAAGAAAGGAGTGGCAGTCGGGCAGTTTTATTGTGGGAACGTAACTGCTCTAGAACAAATCAAAGTAGAAGAAAACACAGTGTTTGCCAAGTGTCAATATAATCCAAGCAACTATGCTATTCATTGATGCAAGGATCAATTAGAATAAACCAAAACTTTAAATACATGCACACTGGGAGTAAAATATAGCACCAAAATTAGACCCAGGTCTCCCTGCAAGCAAATAAATGAACAGTAAAATGGATTAACACCCTTCAACAAATATCACTATCGGTTACTGAAGCACAGCCAACAGATTCAACACATTTACAAGCATCCTCAGTACCTGCCGAAAATCATGCCATCGTGACATTGCCTGCAGCAATATGCACACAATCCTTTTCTTTTATGGAGATACATAATAGTTGCAACAATATAAACATAATCCTTTTCTTTTATGGAAATACACACACCAGCACCAACACAAAAATCAACAGGGCAACAAGCTCTATAAAATGAGGGAAAGTGTAATATGTATGAGCATGACCACTTCAATCATACACATCACAGCATTTTCCTTGTACAACAGAGAAATATAGCAATTACTTCCCAAAATCAGCTCCAAAAAAGCCAATTTATCCAAGGCGCGAGCGAGCAGGAGCTGAACCAGCCGCCAAAAGGGCATAATCGAGCTCAAAACAACATCACCTATCAGTGTGCTATAGCTTAGTCACGTCGGTAACCCAACTTCCCGCACCAAATCGACACGGCGACCGAATCCAGACGGAGATGGAATAAGGGGGCAGGGAGCGACGGCGGTGCGTGGCGGCACGTACGGTGACGGGGGCGTCGACGCGCTGCACGTTGCTCTCCTCGACGAGGATCTCCATGGCCTTGAGGCAGAGCGCCTTGACCTCCGCCTCCGTGAGGGGCTCGCACCGCTTCAGCTGCTCGATCTGCCGGTCCAGATCCGACGCCCCCATCTCCGGCTCAGCCGCCGCCGCGGGGCCGTCCCCTCTTTTCTCTCTCCTCCTTCCTTCCAGAAGCTTCCGAAGCGCCGCCGCGGTGGCGCGCTACTCGCCCGATGCTTCTCGAAGATTCTAGGGTTAGGAAGCGGAGGGAGGAAGAGGGGAGCGCGTGCGGGCCTCGAGCCTCGCGATGGGCAATGCTGTGCGGGGGCCGAAGGTTTCGGTAGGCGGTAAGGCGGAAAAAAATTCGATGGAGACAGTATGCACCGGTAATACGTGCATACGGTTGGATTGCACCTGCATGGAGTTACGGCAGTCGCTTGGCTCGGAATCGAGCGGCTGACGGTAACCTGTTCGTTTGGTCGTGGGCACGTCGTAAACAATCGTAAATTTTTAGTTAGAATAGTATTTTTTTTTCACACAAATCAGTCAGCAGTACTTTTTCACGAACCAGCAACGAAATGAACCAGCCAACAAAACAGGCTGAAGGATACCCGTCACCGTGCGGACGTTTTTTTTTTTAGAAAACAATGTCTTCTCCTCTCATAATACTTACCAGCAATGTTGCAACTGGACGAATAGTTGTTGTTGTGCACTCATCTAGACTCTTACCTCTCAAAGAGCTCGCATTCATATTGGTCCTGTTCGTTTGTTTTATGAGCCGTACTATTTCAGCGAACGAATAGTATTTTTCTCTCATAATAAATCAATGATCAATACTTTCGGTCATAGTTTTTTAGCAAAACGAGCAGGGCCATTGTCGTTATAATGGACGTCAGACGAAGGCTGCATCGTGCTGGCATCAAGAAGAAGCGGTTGGACGCCGTCTCTCACGTGACCTCGTTGACCGCTGCTTGGCCAAACGAACGCCTGTCCAAGTGGCCCGTCGGCGACGCTAGCGCCAAGCATGCCAAGCAACATCTGAATGAACCGCCTCTCAGTCGGGCAGAAGCGCAACGATGGAGGACGGACGTACGTAGTTGAGGTGTGTATGCTTTGCGCCTTCACACGCCCGGCACAAATGCCATCGGGAGCGGCGTTGATGACCACAACTTCGACATTGTAGCACGTCGTGAGCACACACGCCTTCCTTCTTCCTTATCTGCTTTGAAGCTCCTTGCAAGCGCCCGTGCATTGTCAATGAGGCCCATCTAGATCTTGTGCCGTGCATGGCTATGGCGGCGGTAATTGTACGCATGTCGATTTGCTCGATTTCCGGCTCCTAGTTGCCAGCTTTGTATATGTTAGCAACTCTTCTAGATTGGTTCACAGATAACTTTGATTCAGGCAAGAAAAGTACAGGACCTCAGGGGAAGGGAGGTCGGAATCAGCAAGCAGGAGACTAGTAGAGAAAGGTACTAGAAGGATCTAGAAGACCTGGAGGAAGGAAATCCGGGTACAGAGAGGGAAGACTTGAGGAAGAAGATGAACAGTGGAAGAGAGGATCCGAGAGGAAGGTAACTTGTTTGGTATTCTGTAATTCGATGCCTCTCCCGTGCAGAGTCGTTTAGTCTCTCTACTCTGAACCAGCACGGCCCATGGCCTCTCTGGGCTGCAGCCCAGTAGCACCCTGACATTCCTCCCTTCTTGAGAAGCGGCTTGCCCCCAAGCCGCTGCTCGGAATCCACAGAGACTTCTTTGCTCGGTAGGCCAGCTTTCACAGATGTCGATCTTCCCTTCAGTTTGCTTCTCCGAACTACACGCTGCCACTGAACAATGCACAAAACCAGCTCTGAACCTCCTGAATCCCATGGAAAATGATGTGCCTTGGAGGACAACATCACATTCGTCAGTTTAGTGGTCACCAACATATCAGAGTTGAGATTTGTGTCTGCAGCTATGTGAGTAACCAATTTCATATGTGCAGCAACAGTAAGTAAGCCCAAGGTGTATACTGACATTCCCCCCTTCTTTAGCTTCGGCTTGCCCCCAAGCCGATGGAAAAGCTTGGCACCACCGGGATCCCAATGAAACGACAAACTCGTGTCCGGAAGATCAAGTCCGCTGCACAATCGACTATGAAAAGCAATCTGGTCGCTGAGGCTCTGTAGTAGCCCAATCAACAGTGAAGGAATCGCAGACACAGAAGCTTTGTATTGCCAGGTTGATCTCCCAAAATCAGTAGTTTGCAGCCTGCTGATTTCTTGTTGAACGGGTACATGCCATGGGGGCTTCCAGAGCCGACCGGAGTGCATATAATATGTGACTGGTAATTCAGTTTGCTCATTGCTAACATTGAAGAATCCATCATCATGCTTTTGTGGTAGAAACATAAAAGTTTGAGGCAATGGAATAACTGTGACATTTGTCATGCTACCTAATAAACGGATCGGTCCATAATTCCAACAGAGCTGCCATGGAAGCTCTAGGTACATAGCCGAACAATTACATGTGCACCGGTTGCTAGAAACCTTGAAGAACTTAGGATAGATAGCAAGACACCACTCAAAGTGAGCAAAGAACAAACTCCAGGAATAAATAATCTGCTCCATACCTCCTGGATCCCATGCCAGTGGCACTCTGCTGCTAGGAACAACACTTGGGCCAGTCTGCATCAATGGAATGCACCCCACTGAAGCCATGCCGAATTTTGAGTGGAGGCAAAGGGAGAACCCGATCCTCTTCCCAGGTGAAGTCAATCATCAATAGCACATCTGTGTGTGCAGTTGAAGGCCAGCGACAATTTGATATATAGTGAAAGAACACTAGCAGCCACAAACACTTATATGTCACTCCACTCAGATAGCTCTGAATATGCCCACCATCAAATGAAAGTTGCAATGCATACTGTAATGAAGCACGTGTGTTACTGCAGCTGCAATCAACTTTGAACAAGGTGCCTGGATCAAATGCCAACCAAGGAGGCTTTGGCAAGATGTTGTCGGCCACGATTAGTGACTTAATCCACTGCAACAAAGCTGCATAACAAATAAAAAGATGGCCAAGGTATAGGCCTGTGTTGAACACCATCACTCTGTATCTCAAACTGCACAGAAGCTGCATAATTAGAGAAGGAAGGCCAAGGAAGTGGCCGGAGTGGAAGAACAGCAGGCGGAGGCCATGGTTGCTTGTGCGGCACCTCGTTCAACACCCATTCAGTATCTAGGGAAGCTGACGCAGGCTTATTGGCAACAACAACAAGCACATCTACTGGCAGGGGTTTAACAGGACCAGTGACATCCACCAATGCGACTGTAAGTGGCCTGGGTGCAGCCATACCTTGGTTGTCGATGATGATAGAGGAAAATTTGACTCCGGCAGTGCTGGGAATCGTGGAGGCAGGGAATGGAGCCACTGTCATCAATGCAGCAGTTGGGGTCGGCAAGGCACTTGCTGGTGCGATTGGTGAAGTAAGCAGCAGGCTCGAACTGGAATTGCTGTTGCGGACTTGCATCGAACACTTGGTGGGCGGTGGCATGATTACTGGTGCAGGCCTCACTGTGGTTGGCATGGTGGAGGAGGCGCAGTCGAGGACGACAATGGGCGTCTCGTTGGAGAAGGTGACGAGGTCGGCCACCTCCCGCATCCGCTCAGCCGACGTGAGCAACGAGCCGCCGAACTTCATGATGACGGGGTGGCAGAGCTCCGCCAGGCCCATCCGCCGCCTCCAGTATTGCGGTCCCGGCCTCGCGCCCGCGGAGGCTGAGTGCTGCTCCCTCTCGAGCTTGGCGGAGGTGAGGCCGTTGGTGGAGCCCGTGGCGCGGCCCTGGACGGCGTGGAAGAGCGCGTCAGGGATGGTGGAGGTGAGGCCGTGTCCGTAGACGTCAGCGTCATTGCGGATCTGCTCGGCGAAGACGACGGCGTTGGGCGCGGGGTAAGCCGTGGCTTCGCCGCCCTTCCCACACACGAACTCCTTGCCCGTGAGGTTGGAGGCGCGCGCGGTTATGAAGGAGAAGATGGAGAAGGCCGCGGAGGCGGGGATGTCGTCGATGTCGACGGGACCGCACTGGACGAGCTTCTGACTGGCGTCAAGCGGCGTGTCGGGGTCGGTGGAGGTGAACTGGTGGACCTGTATGTCGGCGAGGGAGTCGGCGTCCGAGAGCAAGCCGTGGTCGGCGGGTCCGAACTCGAGGGAGATGTCGGCGCCGTCAGCAGCATCGGTGGCGGCCGGCTCCTCCAGGATGTGGGTAAGCTGCTCGAACAGCCCACCCCAGTTATCGGCGACGATGGATCGCTCCTCGCAGTGCTGCTCGTCGGAGTCGTCGCCTCCGTCGAAGAGGCCGCCCCAGTTGTCGGTGGCTACGTCGGCTCCGACGGCAGCAGACCGGGTCGGAACGGGGACACCGGGGGAGGCCTCCTGTGTGTCTGTCGGCAACCAATAGTACCGTACCCGAAGAGTAGCATGTAACGACGATCAACGTTAATTCATCAGTAAAAAAAAAACATGAGTACAGCCTTAACCGACGTGCTAGCTCCACCTTGTTCGACCTCTGGGACACGCTCCGTCTTGCCCGACCCGAGGCCGCGGGCTTCGCCTCGCCCGACCCATGGGTCCGTGCTCCGCCTCGTCTGACCCTGAGGCCACGGGCTCTGTCTCGCCTGACCCCAAGGCCACGGGCTCCGCATCGCCCGATCCTTGGGTTTGCGCTCCGCCTCGCCCGACCTCGAGGCCTTGGGCTTCGTCTCGTCCGACCCTTGGGTTCATGCTCCACCTCACCCGACCCCGAGGTCGTGGATTCCGTCTCGTCCGACGGAGACCCGTACCGTCGCCAACCACTCTAGGTCCAAGCGTATGGGCCTGGGTCCCAAGTTTGACATCAAGGAAGAGACCGGCACGCCCTGATGTAACCCGTGGCCACGACGGGCCATACCTAAGGATTCACATTAGGAACAACGTCGGGCATACCGGTGTTGTTCTGCCTAACCCCAATACGAACGTTGACAGGACGTCAGCTCACCACGACGTCCGCTGCGACAGAATGGAATGCCACGACCGGCAGACGACGCCTGCGCATGGCGCCAGTGATGGACAGGGCCGCGACGTAGAGCTGTCCATGTTGACATCTACAGAGTCGACGGGACCCACATTAAGGAGAAGGACCCGACGATCCTAAATGACTTCTTTTCCCTCTTATTCTTCTATTTTTCTCCGCTGTAACTCGTGCTCTCTCTTGGCCTATAAAAGAAAAATCAGGGCGTCCCATGGAGGGGATCGACCCATCAACGACCGATCGAATCACCCCGAACCGATCAGAACATGAGATAAACACGCAAGAGCACGAACGAACACACGGATGAGAAGCGATCGAGCTCTCAACACCCGTTCACTCTTTCCACTAGAGACTTGGGATCATTTCCCTCTCTCGCCCGTTTGTATCTCTTACTATAAACTTGCAGTGCTACTAACACGAGCAGCAACAACGAACTGGATGTAGGGACTTTCTGCCCGAATCAGTATAAACCTCGTGTCCTCTAACCACATCATCCGAGCCAGACACACAATAATACAAATTTACTCATCAGTGGTAACTCAAAACACCGACAGTTGGTGCGCCAGGTAGGGGCCTTTTGCGCGTCTCGACGTCCACTTCAGGTCTCGGATGGCCAATCACGGCATCAATTGGGGCCCGGGCGCGCACGTGCGCTTCGGGGACCTGGACTTCATCGTCACAACGGAGGGAGAGTTGGCGCAGGCTCCTGCCGTCGTCCAACCTCTCCACTCCGCCGGCCTCAACGCGATCACTAAAGCGCTTGAGGAGCTGCAGCTGCACGCACCGGAGGCCCGCGCCTCCGGGAGCGACCAGCTCCTCGGCTTCGACTATGAGAGGGTAGAGCGCCAACTCGGCGCCTTCCTAGGACCCCGACCGTCCCGGGAGGACCTGCGCCACCTCACATTCTCGTTCACCAACATCATGACGCAGCTTGCCGAGGGAGAGCCGCTCTCCTCGGAATACCTCATCCGGAGCGTCCCGATAGCGCTCTCGTTCGGTCTTCGCAACGCCGCAGAGACCGTTGGCCACCTTGTGGCGCAGCGCACGCCTCCACCCCCAGCGATGAGTTCATGGGGATGATCGAATATATCGTGGAGTCTTTCCACGACCTCCTCGCGGGAGAAATAGAGTCGCCCTCCACCTCTGACTCCAACAGGGGGAGCCATCACCCCTCTCGTGAATGTTTCATGGCAGGTACCCTCGAGGGACATGTCGAAAGCATCCACGAGGAAGAGGCTACCCCAATGAACGACCTCGACGATGAGGTCGAGGGGGGTGCAGGGGCCCCACCTCGCCTACGGGTGCAGTAGCTGAAGGCTCGACACCAAGAGCTCGAGGAAGCACGACTCCAGCTCGAGCAGGAACGTGTGGAGCTTGAGCGAGAGATCGAGCACCACAAAGACAGTGGGCGTGCGCGCACCATGGCCCGCAACGTGAACCGGAGGATCATCAAGGATGATGAAGCGCTCCCACACTTCGTCTGGGCAAGTCAGAACATCGCTACTACGGTGGCCTTGCTCCGGTGGCTTCTGAGGCCCGCGACGCCTAAGGTTCGTCAGGCCCATCGTGAGATTCGCACGCTACTCGAGCATGCGGCGGCACAGCAGGCCGAGAGCTCGTTGTCTCGACGACATGAGCTCGATGTCAGCCAGTGCACGCCCTCAGAGCGACCCAATAAGGACATGTCAGTCAACCAGGCGCCGCAAGACGGTAGGCCACGCACCGCGGTCCCAGTGCATGAGCGTCTCGGCCGCCACTGTGACGCACGCGACACCCTCGATGCCCGCAGGCGTGCCCGCGGTGATGCGAGGGAGGGGGCTAGCCGTGGCTACCACCCTCGTCGTGGCGGACGCTACGACATTGACGAGGATCGAAGCCCGAGCCCCGACCTGCCGGGACCTCAGGCCTTCGGCCGACACATCCTCAACGCCGTCTTCCCACCATGGTACCGACCACCAACCAACATCCTGAAATACTCTAGGGAAATGAACCTCGGACTGTGGCTCAAGGATTATCGGCTTGCTTGCCAAGCCGGTGGAGCAAAAAATGACGATTTCATTATCCGCAACCTTCCATTGTTCCTAGCCGATTCGGCATGAACATGGTTGGAGCACCTTCTGCCCAACAGAATCCAAAGTTGGGCGGACCTGAAAGAGATCTTCGTGGGAAACTTCTAGGGCATATACGCACGTCCTGGGAACCCATGGGATCTCAAAAACTGTCGATAGAAGACCGAAGAGACCCTTCATGGGTACATCCGGTGCTTCTCCCGACAGTGTAACGAGCTGCCCAACGTCGTCAACACCAACATCATAGAAGCTTTCTTGTCTAGGACCACCTGCGAGTCCCTAGTCCATAAGCTGGGACATAAGGGCCCGCGAACCACCAAGGAGCTCCTCGACATCGCCACCAGCCATGCCTCGGGCGAGGAGGCGGTCAGAGCGATCTTCGACCGCCTCAAGGGAAAGGCAAAGCAGGACGAGGATGCCAGCGAAGGCGCCTCCAACCATCCCAGCAAGAAGAAGAACAAGCAGCGACGCGAGGGCTCGCTCGTGGCCACCGGCGATCGCAAGGGGCATCAGAAGCCCGCCGAGGGTACCTCGAACCACTTTGAGAAGCTGCTCAAAGGGCCATGCCCGAACCATGCCTTCCCCGTCAAGCATCTATACAAGGACTACGGTCTCATGAAGCGGTTCTTGTCCGGAGGCTCCAACAAGGGGGAGCATAGGGGTTACCCCAAGTCGGCCGTAGACGACGCCGAGGGGAAGGATGGCGGCTTTCCAACACTGGATGGCTACCTCATGATCTTCGGAGGGTCGGTGGACTATGACTCTAAGCGCCGCCAAAAGCTTGCGCGCCGCGAGGTCTATACGACCGAGCCAACCACGCATTCCTTCCTCCAATGGTCAGAGTCCGCCATAACCTTTGATCGGACCAACCACCCAAAAAGTGTCCCGCAGCCGGGATGATATCCGCTCGTGGTTGACCCAATCATCGGCACGAAGCGGCTCACCAAGGTACTGATGGATGGAGGCAACGGCCTCAACATCATGTACGCTGAAACGCTTGACGCCATGGGCATCGACCGAGCACGCATTCGGCTGACCAAGGCGCCTTTCCCTGGCATCATGCCTAGAAAGCAGGCCATGCCACTTGGGTAGATCGATCTGCCCATCACCTTCAGGGATCCATCCAATTATAGGACGGAGACCCTTACCTTCGAGGTGGTTGTGTTCGATGGAACCTACCACGCCATCATGGGACATCCATGCTACGCGAAGTTCATGGCCGTCCCCAAGTACACCTATCTAAAGCTGAATATGCTGGGTCCATGTGGGGTAATCACCATCGGCACCTCCTTCTAGCGTGCCTACAAGTGCGAGGTTGTGTGCTGCGAGCACACCGCAGCAATTATAGCCCTTGTCAGTTGTCCATTGCTAACGGATATACAGCCTAACATTGACGGGTTTAGTGATGCTGTCCATGGATGAGGTGCATCGCCTCTTCATTGTCGAGCGGGGTCGATCCACAGTTGCTGCGACCCTTGAACTGTGGGCTAAAGCTAGTCGGAAGAGGTTCTTGTGGTACTACTCCTTATCCTATGGACGCCATAAGTACATTGACTTTTTCTTGAACCCTCTCATCAATCTGTTTTTCAAATTTGTCTTTCATCTCTTTGAAAACCCTCATATACTCTACGTCTTGTGCTGCTCTACCCCTCGAGCAGCTCTAATAAGTGGAAGATTCTTCCTCGAATGCTATTTTCCAAGGAATAAGACCGGCTCCTCTAGTGCGACCAGGATGCTCCTTGTTTTCGAGTGCTTGGGTGAGCACGTCATTCTCCCTATTAGTACTGCGGGTCCCTTTCCTCACCTCATCATTTACCTCAGAGATCCTCTGGACGAGGCTGCTCATGGCTGGATTTGTGGAGCTAAAGCTCCTGTTCGAGCCGTGGTGTACCCCCTCGCCATACAGAAAAATATCAATCTAGGCTCCCAATTGGTAGTCTCAGGCTCAATGCCAAGGCGTTCCACCTCCTCAAGTTCCCTTTCAAATGCATCCATATTACTGGCATAGCCACGAGAGCCGAGTTTATGAGGATTTGTCACTTTAAGCGAGTTCTCCTTATTCTTCCTGCTCAGTTCCAAATACTCCTTGGATTTCCTATATTGCTTGAATTCCTGCCAGAAGTCCTTCTGCTTGGTGTACTCTCCACCATCCCAATTTGGCTCTTTATCCTCGAGGATAAATTTCTTGTACAATGTCCCCCTGAAAGTCTTGAAGCATGTCCCCATGATTTCTTTTGCTTTTTTCTTGACTTGCTCCTTATCATAGTCTTATGGGAAAGTGAAATACTGTGGGATCC